CCTTAAAATCGGAAGCCTTTCTTAATGATTCCCTACAAGAGCTGTGTGTGGTATTATTAAACTATTTCTTGATCTCACAATAAATTTGTCTCAGTATTCTGAGAATATCAGATGTTCTGAATGCAAAGGAATAGGGAAAAGAACCAGTGGCTTCCTGTTGTATTCAACCATAAGGTGGTTGACTACCGTGGAAGGGCCAGGTTGAAAGGATTGCTGCTGCAGGATACTTGTTTTTAGTATTTCCAACTTGACTAGAGGTTACTAAAAGGAGGTAACAGCAAATCACAAGGAATGGGTGTTCTGCATTCTTCCATTAAGACAGCAGTTCCCTCTAGGTGAAGACACATATATTGGATTTAGGAGTTGAATATGTCTACAATATACAGTGGTACCTCGGGTTAAGTAAGTTCCGGAGGTCCATACTTAACCTGAAACTGTTCTTAACCTGAAACACCACTTTAGCTAATGGGGCCTCCTGCTGCTGCCGCACTGCCGGAGCATGATTTCTGTTCTCATCCTGAAGCAAATTTCTTAACCTGAAGCACTATTTCTGGGTTAGTGGAGTCTGTAACCTGAAGCGTATGTAACCCGAGCTCCCACTGTACACAAAAATTAAAATTTTCTAGTGTTGTAAATTATTTCATTAAAATCTTCCTGCTACACATTTTGAGTAAGTAAAGCTTTTTTTAAAAGCATTTCACTCATTCCAAGAAAGAAAATATTCCAAAGGTGTTCCCAATGTTCCCTAAATTTCCCATTGAAAAGAAATCTTTGAAGGGGGAGGTGTCCTCTTTTTTTCCCATTTACTTTTTCCCAGGCCTTTACATCTCTGCTGCAATTGAATGCAAAGGCTCCTAATGGCTCTGACCACAAGGAAAGATGTGGGAAGTTCCCTTTCAAAACTTAGAAGTGTGGGAAGCAGAAAGTATTAAGTTGCTTGTCTTGACTATAAAGTTGCTTATCTTGACTATAAAGTCACAGTTTGTACCTGCATCTTATTTAATTAATCTGTAGTCACAGATGCTGGATCTGTGTGCCTTAAAACCTTAGATGGTCTATGAATTGGTTGTTAAACAAATATGTCTGTACCTGATACCAGGCTAGTGACATTTCACCGTTTAGCCTACTCGTGCTATAGATTTTTTGTTTTTGTTTTCCCCCAATAATCTTTGTAGTGTTCTTGGAAGATCACCAAATATAGAACCCTGTAAATTTTTTAGATATAGGGATCATGTTCAAATGTTACTATACAGTATTAACTAATATGTGACACAACTTATAGCTACGATAGAATTTCTAGACACAATAGAATTTGGTTCTGTATCAAATAGCCAAGATAGAATAGGAAATGTTTTACAGCTAGGTTCATGTGATATTCACATATAAGTTGTTAGGCCATACTCTTTGTAGAATGTCATATTTGTAATTGGCCCCCATACACAAATATTAAAAATGTGTGTGTATTGAATCTAAGGTTTTATTGTTTAGGATGGACTTAAATGAAGCGATACTTGCAAAATTTATTTCTCTACTACAAAGAAGACTCTGGTAGTTCTATGCCCCCGCAAAAGGCTGCTACTTTGACAACATTTTTTCTTCATGTATTTTCCCATCATATCAACACTGACATAGCCAGTCAATGTAATGACCCTGAGGACAAACTAGTTAATTCTAAGGAGAGACAATATTTCCTGAGTTGGAGTTGCTCTCACTCTGAGCTTTGGTTGTTGTCAGTGACTATGCATAACCAAATCTTGCCACACAGTGTCTCTGCTACTAGGTAGAAGATGACCAGTCTTAAAGCAAACTGGTGCTGAAGCAGCAGTGATTTTAGCTGTGAACAAGTACAAAAAAGGTAACATTTCAGCAGTCTTTTGGGAAACATTTCAGGCTCCTAAAAATTTCAGGCTGTTTTCGTGTGTAACAAAATGTTCACTACAGATCACTGTTCAGCCCTATTCTATGCAGGCACCTGTGTAAATGTTTCTGACTTGGAGTTGGTCATGTCAGGAAATATTAAAATTATCACCATCTTTTCTTGCAGCAACTGTAGCAAATTCTCAGCAAGCATATCAGGAAGCATTTGAAATCAGCAAGAAAGAGATGCAACCAACACATCCTATTCGACTTGGTCTGGCACTTAATTTCTCTGTGTTCTACTATGAGATACTAAACTCACCAGAGAAAGCCTGCAGTCTGGCAAAGACGGTAAATAGACTTAATATTGTCAAGAATGGTTATGGGGAAACAAATTAGAGATACACGTTGAGCAGTCGTGAATGCAACTAGAAAGGTATGGCTTAATAAATCATGTCAGAGAGCTCTAGGAGATCTTTTATATTATTCAGAAGAAAGATTAATTATTAAGTTAAAATAACACCCTTGAAATTAGAGGTGGCACTTTTATATTCTATCTAAGGAAGTCTGTCTTGGGTCTTAACCTGGATGAACACAAGTGTAATGTTATGTGTTTTTCGTCACTTAGCCAGCCCTATCTGTGCTTGGAAATTGAATGGGTTAAACATTCTTAAGGCAGGAAGAATCAGAAGCAGAATAAAGTGAATTAATTATTTGAATTTGGTTTAGGCATTTGATGAAGCAATAGCTGAACTGGACACACTGAATGAAGAATCTTACAAAGATAGTACTCTGATTATGCAGCTACTTAGAGATAACCTTACTGTAAGTATTCCTTTGAAAAACTGGCTACACTTTAAATGATGCAATGTTTTATAATTTTAAGTCTTGCCATCCCACAAATGATTGATAATTGCACCCTTACAAACTATTTTGGATGTAACACAAAGTTAGTTCCATATGAAAGAATGACTGCTGTCAGCATTGTGTGTGTGGAGCAGTCATACCTGTAATGGAAAACTTGCGAAATGCCCTTATCAGGCAGCTAACAAATTTGTGTGCTACCTGCAGGCTTCATGTACTCATTGTTTAACTTCATCTAATCTCCAGTCTTTAGTTCATCATTCATTAACTCTTCCACTCAAATAATACTGCTCTACTGAAACAAATTGCCCCACTACCTCTTTCCAGACCAATGTAATTAACTGCATGCTTTCAGCATAAACATGTTTGTATTTTCTTACAGCTATGGACATCGGAAAACCAGGGAGATGAAGGGGAAGCTGGGGAGGGCGAGAACTAATGGCTGTCACGCTTCACTATATGTTCAATGTCACTCTGTATCCTACACGTTATATCCCTTTGTGCGACAAGCAAAAAGAATAGTACATCGACTTCACAACCTCAACGTAGCAAACTGTCTGTGGGGTAAAAACAATTGGTTGGTGTTCTGTGTACATAAAATGGAGATCAATTGAGCAATGGCATTTTGAACCTTTCCTATTATGAACACTTACAATTATGATTACTGTGTTTATATTTTTTTTAACTGAACACTGTGATTATGGGTTTTGCGATTGCAGTTGACTTTACAAAACTCTAAATGGTGGAAGAGTAGATATGAATCATGTAATTCATTGGAAAGATTATAATCTGGGATCAAAGTAGTCGAAGTACAATTCTGTTGTAAAGTTGTACAGAAAATTATAGAGATTATATTGTGACACTGCAACATGCAAGGGAAACAATCTATTGTGCGGCATTCCAGTTCAGTAGTTCACTTCTGTGAATTTAATAGGCACATTCATTCAAACATTTTTGTTTTTGAAATAATAATGCTGGACACGCTGCTTTTCAGCCAAACGCTCATGTCAAATGTAAACATTTTCTGAGGCCTCAATTTAAAGCAGAGAAAAACGGCAGCCTAAGTTCCAGACTCCTTAACAATGGCAGAATACTGGGGCTTCGTCTATGGAGAAACAGCCCAGTCCTCTTTCTGTGGACATTGTCAAGCCCCTTCCCACAGCAATAAGTTAACATACTTACAATATGGACTATTCCTGGTAGTGAATTTTTAGAGCACTACCATGGAATTTCAACAGGATGTTTCTGTTTTTATGGCCTTATTAGTTGCTGAGTAGGCATGCTAAATAGAACTGTTTTCCCACTTTAAAATGCTAAAATCTTAATCTCCCTCCTCACTTCAGGGAGGAGGCCTGCCCCTTTGAATAATCCGAAAGAGCTCTTCTTTGCATGGATTGTGTTCTCCCACCCAGTCCCATTCCGGCTTCAGTTTAAAGCCTGAGGTCCTTTGTGTATGCTGTTAAGTCTTTGATGATGGGAGCGGCTTAAATATGTTGGAATACAGGTCTCACTTAGATGCTGAAGGCTTGCCAGTGCTGGATCACAATCAAGATCCTGTTAAAAAGTTTTCCCATAGCTGCCTTAGGAATACAGACCATAAACATGCATATTAATTGTTAGCTTGAGATACTGAAATTCCAAAAGTTCAATTGTTTATAAACCTGTCCAGTCAAATACCAGAATTCAATAGGAGTTGCATGAATAATGCAGAGGAAAGATTTGAATACTCACCCTTTTCAATCTTTTTAGTATCGTTCCTCTGCCTATAAGCATTCCGCTTAGATCATAGAATCCATCTGTTCGTCTTTTCATCTGTCACTGAAGAGAGAAATTCATGCACTGACTTCAAAATTCCCCTCTTACTAGCTGAACAAATTGTGCAGTTATACTTGGCGCTTGATAAATGCGGTAGTGAATGTGGAACCGAGCCTGTCTGTATATCTGGTAGCTCTTTTTGCGTTGTTTCTACTGACCAGTATTTTGCCTAAAGTTTGCTTCTGTGACGGTTGTATTGCCTAGCACACACACACGTGGTTGTGAGAATAGTATAGCAAAAAGAAATACCTGGTTATTGATGTACTAGATTTGTGTATGTCTTTTAAAACAGTTCTAGTTTCACCTTACACAATCGGGAAAGTGTAAAAGAATTCAAAGACAATAAAAAGTTTTATCAGTTGTGGTCTGTGGGTTTTTTTTACACTTTTGTTTGTTACTGCCATGGCTGAATACTGTGGTGGTGGAATGACTGTGCTGTTTTATGTCTCGTAGCTTGCTTAACTGCTAAAGCAGCCTTTAAGGTCTGCGCACGCGCACACACACACACACAACCAAAAAAACCCACCACCTCGTCACAACTGTATAGAGTTGGTCACTTCTGTTTCACAGGAAGAGTGAAAGAAGACACCTTGTGCAAGGCTTCACAGCATCCAAGCCAAACTGCCTATCTACTGGACATCTGCCTTCTTATAGACAGTAGTGAATGATTTTGAATATCGTAAAACATGCTGCATTATTCCTTCAGGTATTAAAACAGCATTGGGTTCTAGAAATAGTTTAGATCCTAGAAAGTGGCCCTTGATTTCTTAGCTTTCTGACATGAAGCATGAATTCATATTATTCAAAAGCCACCTTCGTTATGAAATCCTTTAGGAATAAAGTTTGTCCTATAAGTACAAGTAGCTATGACCGACGGCTGGTGCAAATAAAGCTTCATTCATTCAGCTTGTAGGTGCAAGTGATCCAAGTGTCTAAATGGCACTTTGTGGGTTGTAATTGTATTTAGAATAGTTCTGCTGCAGAAGTCTAAATTGTACTTCCTTTAGACTTTTGATTCTTTCCCATTATTAGAATAATATCTTATTCTGCCAGGTATTATTAGTACCACCAGCTCCGAGGTTCCTATTAGAAATACAGTGTGAGGTTCTAGTTTTCTGATGCACTTCGTAATATCTTTAAAGGGATCTTTCCGATCTCTTTTATGAAAAGATGCTTGAACTCCCCCTGCAGAAAAAAGTGCACAGGTTCTTTCAAATGGTAAGAAATGTAGCCAAAAGCAAGGAACCCTGTTCCTACAAAGACTAAGAAGGGCTCATCTAGGCTTCCTTTTGTTTCGTGTTTCTAGGCACAGATTCAGGCTTTAAAGCTCTCTGTCCAAGCAGACTTTTTTTTTGTCCCCACCCTTTCCCTGGGAAAACCTGTGTTTTACCGGTGAATTGGAGCAAACAGGTTTTCTGCAGATTGCTGTTCACTTTATTCAGTGGAAAAAACAGGTGTTCCTGGGCAAAATGCCAAAATCAAAACTCAGATATGGCGCATGAACCTGTGCCTGGAAAGCACAGCACAGAATGAAGTCTGGATGGGCCCTTAATGTTGAATCTACACTTACTGAAGATTTCAGAAGGGGTAGGTTACTTTTGTACTCTCCCAGTGTGTTGAGTGCATGAAATTGGCACCAAACAGTAACACACTTCCTGCGCTACCATTTCAGAGTGCAGATAATGAGCTGTGTGTTTCAGTACTTCCTCATGAAGGAGACTCCATCTCTTTGGTTTAAAAGGCCAGGCTGAATCCTTCGCTGTAATGTACTTGTTTTGCATGCATAAAGGGTTGTTTTTAATTGAGCATTCAAAGATGCAGCCCTCCCAACTGGTAGCCTGAAATTGCACGGCTTACAAAAGGCGTGCTTTCAATTTCTGCAGAATGTAAGCTAGCCTTCCAGATACATTCCACAATTCGTTTGCTTGTCTCTGTATGTTGTTGGCTCATGCCCAAGTGCAGAGTACTTGTCTTAGAGCAGAAAGGGAAGAACGTGATAACTGCCTAAAACAGCTTTTCGTCTAGACAATGTGGAAAAGCAACTTGCTGCGATACCAAGCAGCTGCCAGTCAGCTATGTTTTTTCCGTTCGAGGACTTTACCCTTCATAGGAAAATGAGAGCGATGTTATGGCCAGACTTTGAAAGGCTTCTTCTAGTTCCCTAGCTGCTTTTGCTGTTACAGAAAAGCCACAACTTAAACTGCCTTTGATAGCCTATGGCTATCTGAACAGCCCATGTACAGAGAGGAAAATGGAAAGGTATCTTGAGTACCTATGAAGTAGTATGACTTGATGTAGAGATGGAAATATGCTGAAAGAAGAGATGCGTGGAGACATTGCTTTAAAGTGTGCTTAGTGTTTCAGCTCCACCAACAAGATTTGTGGCGTAACAAAGTTATTGTGGCATGAGCCTTTTTCATCAGATGCAGGAGCTATGGAGATGATGGATGCAAGCAGGGACTAAAGGACTGGTCCTTTTTCTTTCCCCTGCAATGATTGCTCAAGTTCTTTCTCACCCATCCACAGTGACATGGCGAGCCCTCTTTGCTGTTGACACTTGTTTTTGTCCCACGCAGCATCTTTTGCCATTGTGTTCAGGATTGAAATGTGCGGGGAGATAAACATTTGGGCCATTGGGGTGGGGTGAGAGGCGCATCCGTCCTGCATGAAACAGATAAACATTCCAGAAGGGTGTAAAAGATCATGGGTTGTATCCAAGTAAGTCGTAAGTACGTTTATTGAAATTAATGAGCTTAAGGGCATTTGTTTCAATGGATCCTACTCCTGAGTGTGACTTGATTAGATAAAACCCTACGTAATATTCTAATAAATGTTAATAAAAGTTATTTAGATGGTAGATTTAAAAAATGTCAGGTTCAGAGGCTTAGTGAGAGCAGCATGGCAGGCAAATTGATAGCAATTTTTCATTGGCTCTGTGTCTAGTGGCATTCAGGCACTGAATCTGGTTAACTGAGCACGAGACTTAACCCCAGCCAGTTGATGCAGATTGGACAACAGTTATGGGGAGAGAAGTTCCCCAGCAGCTTCTTAGAAGCACAGTTTCATCTGAGTAGTGGGAATGATGTGTTATCAGTAATACATTAAATTTAGAACACGCTGCATCTGTCAGAAATCATTATTTTAGTGTGGCCGCCCCTACACTTTGGAACTCCCTACCTATTGACTTCAGGCAGGTGCCTTCACTGTAGTATTTTCAGTGCCTGCTTCAAAACATTTTTGTTTAGGCAAGATATGCAGAACACTGACATGTGTTTTGATCTGGTTTTTAGTTTATTGCTTTATTTTTGTAAACCGCTTTGCTGTTTGGTTTAGTTTTACAATCAAATAGTATGTAAATGTTGTGAAATAAATAAACATACAAACATTTTCGGTGTCTGATTTACCTCTTCACTCTTTCTAGGGAAGTCCCAAGGGTTACGGATACTTTAACTTTCCTTGCATATGTAAATTGCTTAAAGATTCTACTTACAATCGAGTTGAATTTAAATTTTGTTTAAATGAAAAAAAGAGAGACTGAAATCTGTGTCTTCCCATCTTTTGATACTCGTTTTGTGCATGTCCCTAACACATGGAGAACGATATATTTGTTTGCTATTGTGGCTACTAAAGAACATATTGTAAATGTTTTAAAATGTCAGCAACGTACAGAACACACAGTGCATTGTTATGCATGTTACTCAGAAGTAAGTCCCAAAGCTTTCAATGGAGCTCTTACTCCCATCCAGGTGCCTTCCAGTTGTTTTGGACTACAACTCCTATCATCTGGCTGGCCAGCCACACCTCTTTCAAGAAACTCCATTCCTTCCCTTCTGTTTTGTCTCTACCCCACCCTTCCTGCACCCCACTATTTCAGCAAGGTCAGTCTTATTTGAGTTGTCTTTGACTTGGGTGAGTGTGTTACATTTCCTGAATCATTTTTTGCATTCCTGCGCATATTGTGGTCCCTCTAAGCTTGTTGCTACCTCCCTCTTGTTCATAGATGGTGTTATTCTGGCTACATAAGAACAGGCATTTTTTTAAAAAAATCACTTTTAGTACATAGGAGTCAACATAGTTTAATTGTTTGTTAGGAAGCAGGTCAAGTGACTGTTTCCAATGGGCTGTAACAAACAGTCATACTCAAGAGTAGACCTTTTGAAAAAAGCAGGACTATATTTTTAGTTTCTTTTCATTTTTAATATTTTACTTCCTTATGCTTAGAGGACAGTTTTGCCATGAACTTTCCTTCTATTTATGCAGCTGGTTTTTATGCGGAAAGTTTATTTTGATACTTAAGAGGATGCTCTCTTTAGTTGTTAACTGTGCTTTACAGAATGTATTGATTCTCTCATATTTGTTGCTTATTAAGGATGTTTTAATCTATGGATGGAGCCAATGCTAGTCCTACTCATAGTTGACCCATTGAAGTGAATGGGCATGGATCACTTAATTTCAGTGGGTGTACTCTTGAGTAGAACTTGACCGGCTACAACTTTCTCTTGTAACCTATGTACTACACCTAATGCTGGAGGCAATGTGCCCCCAGTCACCATTCCTGCAAATCACAGGTGGGAATGTCCCAGATCCTACCAGTGGAGTATCGGGGGGGGGCACAGGGGTGGTTGCCCCAGGCGCAAAATTGTTAGGGGTGCAAAATTTCAACACCCTGTACTGCCCGAATACAGCTGTTCACTTCTATTGTTGGGCTGTGTTCGCTTCTCCATGTGAACCAGGAAGTGGCCTATCCCAAAAACAGAATGACATGAATGTACATTTGTACTCTGCCCGTTTCCCTCCTGTTCTCTTTGTGTGGCGCCGGGCATTGGCAATCCATGCTATGCCACTGGATCCTGCTTTTGGTCTTCCCATAGGCACCACTGTGAGATGGGCCTGATCCAGCAAGCTCTTCTTAGGTCCTTAAACCACACAGAGGGAGGAATTCAGCATAGGGCCAAGAAGATTGCTCTGTCAGTGTAAGCATTTCTGCTTGCCTGATTCAGCCGTCTGCCCTCTCCTCCCCCTGCATGCTGTTCTGGGGTGGGAGTGGGGAGCTCTGTTGTGCTAGTGATGGTATTTGTACAAGTTTCTACTAGTGGGGCTTGTTACAGTTGAATCCCACCCCCTCCATTTTGTTTAAATGGTACATAAATGGTCCAAATAACTAAACAAAACTAACTTGGGTCCATTAATTTCAATGGCTGTACTCGTGAGTAGAACTAAGTAAGCACAGATTAGTATTAAACAAAAGTCTATACAGACTAGGTTTATATTTAAAAATAAATAGATAAATCCACAGCCGACCGCTTTCCTCACCCACCCCTAGTTTTTAGAAGGGAAGTACATAGCTTTCATCCCAGAGTTGAATTCCAGTACCTCTTTCTTTGATAACAAACCCGCAGAGTAGGCAAGGGGATGGAGTCTGTTTTGTAGTATTTTGAAGCCATGAAGTGTCTTATAAATGAGTGGATGACAACCTTCACTGCTGGTGTTGGCATCGAAGCTCACAGGAGCACAAGACCCAGCTTCCCACCCTGAACACTTAACAAAATAGCTGGTTTTATTGCCTTACCCTGTACTTCTAACTCTGGAGGGACTGGCAGCATGGTGTGTGGTCTCAGGAAAAGCCACAGAGGCCTGTTCTCCTGTTTCTTGGTTAGCCTAACTGATGCCATTTTGCATCTGTAAAAAACTACCTGCTTTAGAATTTAGGAGGGTGAGCCACAAATAAGTGAAGACCAGATAACGTTGCTAGGCGATTTTCAGGAAATCCTCCCACTGCCAGGCTACTCTCCCCTTCAAGGTCTCCAGGCAGAGTGTCCTGTTTCAGTCAGCGGGAGCAGCTGAATAAACGAGTGATTGTGGGAATCTCCTCTGTCTATGGCATTTATTGGCTTTTCAGTGACCAAGGCAGCTTGGACCCGATTAGCGGACCCCAACAATGGCTGGAATGGTTGGAGCAGGTGGTGGTGCTACAGGAAGTGGCTGGCCACACCTATGAGTGAAGGGGGCGGGGCAATGTATTTCTGAGAGCTGCTCCCACATTAGGGAGGACCAGCCCTGAAGGTGAATGTTTGCTGGCGGCCTTGCGTCACATGTGAGTGCTTTATGGGTTGGAGGGGAAAGCTGGCTGGTGGGAGGGGTTGGGAAATCACGAAAAGGCAGTATATTGTTACATGTATAGCCAGGTTCTATGCATGTTTACTCTTAGTCGAGATTTCAGGTGAACATGTTCCCAAATTAAGTGTGCAAAGAACTGCAGCTTGAAGTTGAGCCGGTTTAATGCTCCACTAGTGCTTTAATTAAGAGACATATTGAATTTAGAGTTGGCTTTCTGGATTTGTTTCCTACCTCATCTCTCCCACCTTTCAGCCGAGACAAAAGTGAAGTTGTGGATTTAAGCAGACACATTAAAAGCACAGGAAATACCTGCCTTGGCAGTTTGTGAGAAAGATCTCGAGCATGAGTCAGCAGTGTGATGGAGATGCAGAAAAGGCAAATGTGGTTATTAGGCTTCATGAGTAGAACCATAGTTTCCAAGTCATACAACGTAACCCTGCAGTTTGCTGGTTGTAACCTAGGCTGTGACTCAGGCCTAATTTCTGATTTTCCCAATGTGTGCCGTTCAGTGTGAGACCATTTCTGGACAGAAAAATCAACTAAGCAACCAGTTAAAAACAAGTCTAGTTACTTTCCACAATTTGTTTCCAATTGCTTAGTTAGTTCTTTATACAGCAACCAGTTAAAAGGTTTCCCCTTAATTGTCCAGCAGGAAGGAAAATCTAAAGGTCAGGAACAAGACTAGGAGGAGGGACCCTCAAGGGGGAGTTAACAAACACACCCTAAACTTTTCTCTCTGCCCCTAACGAAGTTTGTTTTATAATGCATATTTTTCTCAGCAGGACTCTCCCCAAATGCTTGACTATGGTTACAATCTAAGTGGTTCTTCGTTTGTAAACTTGTTTTATGGTACCATGATGCAAGATTAAAACTGGGTTGTTGTTTTTTGTTGTTTTTTTGAGAGGGAAAACAAGCTCCACACCAGTTTTCAACTTTTTAGTTATAACTTAAACTGCTTCCTTTCTTTTACACTTGTTGGTATCCCCCTATTCACTGTATCCTTGACATCTTTCCCCCCTAGGAAACAAAAAATATGCCAGTCATTTAATTCCTGGTGTAAATTTTCTCTTAACTTACCTAATGGGCTATGTGAATATCAAGTTAACACTTCCTGCATGGAGGAGTGAGGGGGAAGGTTGCTGCCTTTCCTCAAATCCTCTACCAATGAGTTGGCAGTGAATTGACTGACACCCCTCTCCACCCAAAAAATGCCCCCACCTAGAAATGTGGCTGCCCCACCTAACAAGGAAGGCTGGCTATAGGAATATTACACAGCACATTTTTTGGGAGTCATCCTTAAATTTTTGCAGTGCTGTGCCCAGATCCTCTGTTGAGTGTTACCCCACTTGGCTCCTGTAATCTGCTGGTGAGAAATGTTCAGTCGTTACCGTTTTGAATTGTATTGTGTCCTTATCTTCCTTAAGTGGATTGTGCGAACCGCTGTTCTGAATAATAATTTTTATAGGGTAGTGGGAACTGGAGATGAGTTTATGGAACCGAGGCGGCATGAAAAAGTTTGGGAACCTCTGTATTGCACCCTTCCACTCAACTTGTTGTGTTCCAGAATTTGTTGGCCAGCAGCTCCCATCATCTCAGACTAGTGGCCCTGCTGGGTGGGGCTGATGGGAGTTGCAGGTCAAAACAACTTGAGGATGTTGGGACCATAAAATCATAGAGTTAGAAGGGACCCTGATGGTCATCTAGCTCAACCCCTACAATGCAGAAGTCTCAGCACATGGGTTATGGATCTCTAATGCACCATAATTTCTCATGTTCTCTCTCTCTCTCTATATATATATATACACACACACCCTCTTCTGTTTATTATTACCTATGGTGTATTATGGTGTGGAGGTGCTATCCAAGGGGGCAAAGAGGTTGTAATAGTGCCTGTATGGGTTGAATTGTTGCATGAGCAGACTTCCCCCTTCCTTCTCCAGAGAGTCTCCTGAGTCCCAACCCTCCAGACAATATTATAGAAGCAAGGGGTGCAAGTGCCTCTGCATGAGCGGAATTGTGTTCTGCTAAGCATGAAACTTGTTGGGTGCAGCTTTGCATGTCAGATACCTTGTATAGGGGGCACGGGTGGCGCTGTGGGTTAAACCACAGAGCCTAGGACTTGACAATCAGAATGTCGGCGGTTCGAATCCCCGCGATGGGGTGAGCTCCTGTTGCTCGGTCCCTGCTCCTGCCAACCTAGCAGTTCAAAAGCACGCCAAAGTGCAAGTAGATAAATAGGTACCGCTCCGGCGGGAAGGTAAAGGGTGTTTCCGTGTGCTGCTCTGGTTCGCCAGAAGCGGCTTAGTCATGCTGGCCACATGACCCGGAAGCTCCCTTGGCCAATAAAGCAAGATGAGCGCCGCAACCCCAGAGTCAGCCACGACTGGACCTAATGGTCAGGGGTCCCTTTACCTTTACCTTTATACCTTGTATAGAATCTATGCAGATGTACTAATATACATTAGTAAATGCATGTGTTACTCCTATTTACATAGCATGGGCAGGGAGGGGAGGAACTTGGTGAAAATGACTCTGGATATAGTGGGTTTCATTTGCAGGCAACTTCAAGAGCTCAGTCAGAGGTTTACAGGGAATCTACCCTATAGAGTCCTGCTATTTTTGCATCTCTAAAGATCCCTGTTGTGCTGCCTGGGAGTAACTAGGTTTTGCTTCACTTCCCAAGTTAAACTGCATGATTGACCATGAATGCTAGTGGCCCAGGATATCCGCTAGCCTCCCTCTATGTGGGCGACTTGCACCCGGATGTAACGGAAGCAATGTTGTACGAGAAATTCTCGCCTGCTGGACCGATTCTGTCCATCAGAGTTTGCCGAGATGTCTCCACACGCCGATCACTAGGTTATGCCTACATAAATTTTCAACAGCCTGCTGATGGTAAGTGAGTGAGAACTTCTTCTGAACTCTCAAATGTTGTATTTTGTTTGCATCAAACATCTTTGCTCCATTCTTCAGCAGAAAAGACTCCCAGGGTAGATTACAGATCAATAAAAAGTAATACTGTGTTGGCTGAGGTCAGAGGCTATCTCAAAGGCAGGACACGAAAGGAAAAGGAGCAGAGAAAAAAGAGGGATGCAACTCAGGCGCTAGTTAATAAAGTTCTTATAATAGTGGAGAGGGAAATGGTTTGGTGCACAGGTGGGGAGCCTGCTACCCTCTGGATGTTGTTGGACTCCAAGTCCCATCAGCCCTGGCCAGCATGGCCAGGGGTTGCTAGGAACTGTAGTTCACCGTCATCTGGAGGTCCTCAGGTGCCCCATTGCTGGTCTGGAGAGAGTGGGGGATCCAAATGTTTCTGGTTTCAGCTGAGCCGATGAAGTGGCTCTGCTTCCCAGGGCTGCAGCCTGATAAATCCATGTTGTACAATGTGCCCATGACTACTAAGTCTTCCTTTGGAAAACGAAGCAAGTTTTGCCAGGCAAAAAGGCAACTCAAGCTCTGCTTTCAAGCAGGGTTTGGGGCTCTACAGTACTCATTTAGGGGATCTGAACATTTAGAAATTAGCTGGCAAGTAACCTTTTGTGTTCCAAGTAATTTCTGGTAGCTGTAAGATAAGTGTTGAGCTAAACTGAAGTGAAAGGAAGCTTCAGCCTTGCCCTGTTCACTAGGCCACAGTGATTAAGATTAGCCATTGCAGATGTCCCACAGGAGGAGTGAAAAATCTGTGGATTTATCTCCCATCAGCCCCAGCCAGTGACGCTGGTGGTTAGTGGGAGTTGCAGCACAACAATATCTGAAGGGTCTATCTTCCCCAGTCCTGCATCTAATGGCCTTTACCACTTGACCCATGATGAAGCTATGGTCTTGTTTACAGATGGTTGACTTAGAAACCATGGGAAGTTATTTGTACCTACAGCTTCCAGTCATGTTTTCCAGAAGCTAGAGCTTCTCTTCTTAACACCAATTTCTTAAGCCCCACTCCTGTCGAAAGACTTTGTGATCTTCCCTGTTGGTAGTAAAATGAATGTGCTCACACACAGCTGTTTGCCAGGTGAGAGACTGGGCTTCTTTGCTTCCAGATTTCGGTTTTTGTTTCTGTGTAAACAAATGAGCTTTCCCTCCCCTGCTAGCTGAGCGGGCCTTGGATACCATGAATTTTGAAGTGATAAAAGGCCGACCCATTCGCATCATGTGGTCACAACGGGACCCAGGACTCAGGAAATCAGGCGTTGGGAACATCTTCATCAAGAACCTGGACGATTCCATTGATAACAAAGCTTTGTATGATACATTCTCAGCCTTTGGAAATATCCTTTCTTGCAAGGTAGCTATGTCACTGGCAGAAATAACATCACCTGATCTGCTTCTAGCATTCTAGTGTATGTGTTGTCTATCATTCCTTTTATCCTGATCTATTCAATTTTTGACCAGTGGTTTCTAAGCACTCTGGCTTCACTTTTGTGTAATATCATTTGGTGGGTGGTAATTTAAAATTCAAAACAATCTTGAGGTAGCCTCTAGGCAAAACACTTTGGGCAATTTCCCACCCCCTCTAGCATCACAATGGGGATAGTTCCTTGAATCTCAGAACTTCTCTACTGTCCAAAGAAACAGGACTTCAGTACTGAGGGAGACCTCATTGAACTGGACACCAACCCCATTCCAATTTTCTTCAAGTTCTTTTTTCTCTCTCTTTGAAACTTGGAAAGAAATGCCTTCTTTATCTAAGGGAACTAAGGTTTTTACTCATTGCTGATGGGACCCATTGATTAGGGTTACACCAAATGTGTCTGGGACTCGGGGTACACTTTTTAGGGGGGCTTTGTAACCATTGAGCAGATATACATGTAAACTGGGAGGAAATCAAGGGCCCATCTTTTTCGTTTTCAGTTGTATGACTTCCTTTTCCCCCCTCTTCCCTCTTCCCTCTTCCCTCATACCCACCCATGTATTAACAGGTTGTTTGTGATGAGAATGGATCCCGAGGTTACGGCTTTGTCCATTTTGAGACCCATGAGGCAGCAAACAGAGCAATTGACACGATGAATGGAATGCTCCTCAATGACCGTAAGGTGTAAGTGGAAGCTTGGGTTGGGAGCTAAGGTGCAGGTATGGGTGAAGTGGGTGACTGCGAGATCAAATGTTGTTGACTCTCTTAATATGTTAGATGCAGATTAGCATAGATCCTTATTGCAAGTTTTTTAAGAGAAGCATTCCACACATAAATAAATAACAGAGCCCCTCTTATGTGAGTGTCTGGAGGCAGTTGGAGGATGGATGGCAGCTAACAGATTGAGGTTGAATCCTGACAAGACAGAAGTACTGTTTTGGGGGGAAAGGGTTAGGGTTAGGGTTACTCCCTGGTCCTGAATGGGGCAACTGTGCCCCTGAAGGAGCAGGTGCGCAGCCTGGGAGTCATTTTGGACTCACAGCTGTCCATGGAGGCACAGGTCATTTCTGTGTCCAGGGCAGCTGTTTATCAGCTCCATCTGGTACGCAGGCTGAGACCCTACCTGCCCGCAGACTGTCTTGCCGGAGTGGTACATGCTCTGGTTATCTCTCGCTTGGACTACTGCAATACGCTCTATGTGGGACTACCTTTGAAGGTGACCCAGAAACTACAACTAATCCAGAATGCGGCAGCTAGACTGGTGACTGGAAGCGGCCGCCGAGACCATATAACACCGGTCTTGAAAGACCTACACTGGCTCCCAGTATGTTTCCAAGCACAATTCAAAGTGTTGGTGCTGACCTTTAAAGCCCTAAATGGCCTCGGTCCTGTATACCTGAAGGAGCATCTCCACCTCCATCGTTCTGTCCGGACACTGTTTAGGGAAGCTTTTAATGTTTAATAGGTTATTATATTTTAGTGTTTTGTTGGAAGCCACCCAGATGGGCAGGGTATAAATAATAAATTGTTGTTGTTGTTGTTGTTGTTGTTGTTGTTATGCAGAACACAATAAGGGTATAAGCACAAAGGAAAACCAAGGTTAGTAAAAGGTGCAACAAATTTCCTTGGAAACATGTATCAAATGATAGAATAACAAGAATATTTGTAAGTAAATGCAAGTATCCAATATTTTATGGCAAGTTTAGCATGCAAAACAGTCCATAAGGTCACTAATTCGTTTCCCCTGTGAGTATAGAAAATGTGCATTTCCAGCAGCAATACAGTTGGCCGGAAGAGCAACAGCTCATCCAGACTTCCGCTTGTCCCACCACTTCTCCTCCCAGAAAAACCTGCTCTTTCACATTGAATTGGATTTTGGGTTTTCCTTGGATTGACGTTTGCCCCAATTCAGCACTAAAGAGCTGGTTTTCCTGGGGCAAGTCGTAGGGCTAACAGAAAACCACTCAGACCTGTATTTGGAAAGGACAAGTAGGAAACCACTTGGAACCATGCTTCCTAGGCATGGGACGAATGAAGGGGGGAACGAGCCCTCACTGTTTCATGTGCTCCATAAATCCTTTGTCTAGAAGATGCCTTGCCAAGTCACAGTTTTCTCTACACTGCCTTAAGAAGAGCAGTGGCTACAGCTGAAATCCACCCTTTGAGGTTGATGCAAAATACAGGCACAAGCAATGTTATCACTGCTCAAGCATCAGGCTCTCCTAGCTTAAAGGTCTCTAGAGCTACACCAAACAGAGATAATCCTGCCTATCTCCTCATGACGGCGTCTCCTGAGCACTGACAAGGCAAAACTGGGCACTTGTGGCTTTATTAGAGCATGGTGATCGATAAAGCTGCCTCAGTTCTTGCCTACTTAATATAGCTTGGGAGGTTTCCCTGACCTCATCGCATGGTACACTCAATGTATTCTAAAAAGCGGCTTCACTGTTCACCCTGTTTACAGGTTCGTAGGCCATTTTAAATCTCGACGAGAGCGGGAAGCAGAATATGGCGCCAAGGCAATGGAATTCACCAATGTCTACATCAAGAACTTTGGGGATGACATGCATGATGAGCGACTACAGGAAATATTCTCAAAATTTGGTAAATGCGGCACTTTGAAGTATAGTGATTGGCAGGGAAGTTTCAGCCTGTGGGCCTAATTAGGCCTGCCAGACCTCAGAGACTGGGCTGCCAGGCTATTTTGGGTGAACAACGCCCCTGTTTCCTGAGCCTGGTGTCATATACGATACGAGGTGCACCTTTTGCAAATCTGCTCCAGAGGATCGGGGGAATGCTTTGAACAGGGTTCCGCCAGCAGGGGAGAGGAGAGAGAGAGGGGGAGAGAATGTTCGGTTGCACAAGGAGAAATCCTTGCCCTCATAGAATGTTCGCCTTTATGTTGGATTCTGTTGTTGTTGTTGTTGTTTAGTCATTTAGTCGTGTCCGACTCTTCGTGACCCCATGGACCAGAGCACGCCAGGCACTCCTGTCTTCCACTGCCTCCCGCAGTTTGGTCAAATCCTGGTAGCTTCGAGAACGCTGTCCAACCATCTCGTCCTCTGTCGTCCCCTTCTCCTTGTGCCCTCCATCTTTCCCAACATCAGGGTCTTTTCCAGGGAGTCTTCTCTTCTCATGAGGTGGCCAAAGTATTGGAGCCTCAGCTTCACGATCTGTCCTTCCAGTGAGCACTCAGGGCTGATTTCCTTCAGAATGGATAGGTTTGATCTTCTTGCAGTCCATGGGACTCTCAAGAGTCTCCTCCAGCACCATAATTCAAAAGCATCAATTCTTCGGCGATCAGCCTTCTTTATGGTCCAGCTCTCACTTCCATACATCACTACTGGGAAAACCATGGCTTTAACTATACGGACCTTTGTTGGCAAGGTGATGTCTCTGCTTTTTAAGATGCTGTCTAGGTTTGCCATCGCCTTTCTCCCAAGGAGCAGGCGTCTTTTAATTTCGTGACTGCTGTCACTGTTGGATTCTACCCATATGTAATAAGAGATTGCGGGTAAGATCCATTTTGTGTGTGTGAGTGGACGTCTCCTTCATCTTCCCACTACATTTCCTGCATCCTCCCAAATCTGTTCCCGAGAATCCCTCAACCCTCCAGGCCAGATTTTGGAGGCATGGATGAGGGAGGCCATTCCGTCAACTGGATCTGTTTTGCTGGCAGACAGGCAAAACTGTTCTGTTGCGCTGGTGGACAGGCACCACTGGATTTCACCCAATAGCCCCAAGTGCATGGCACCAACATGAGTCTATTGTAACTTGTGGCTCCAGCAATGTCACACTGTCTTAAAGTTTCTTGTTCTACTTTCCAGGAAAGACGTTGAGTGTCAAGGTGATGATGGATAATGCAGGCCATTCGAAAGGGTTTGGGTTTGTCAACTTTGAGAAGCATGAAGATGCTCAGAAGGCAAGATGGTCTTTGATCTATTTGTCTGTGCCCAATGCTTGCTTGTTCCTGTTCCAGTGAATGTAGCTGTCAAGATGGAGCTGAAGACTTATTGGTGGGAGAGAGACCTGACTTGGATGTGTGTGCACCTAAAGGTGTAAATGGGCTTTCTCCACCAGGGACCTCCCTGTTTTGTGATCATAAAGTTGAGGAAGCCTTCTAGTGTGGGAAGTCCCAGAGCTAGAGCAACCCCAACAGATGGCTGCATATAGCTTCTGCTTAAAGACCTCTCACAAGGGAGAGTCTATCCAGTTGTTTGATCATTGGTTCCATCGCCAAACTGATTTTACCAGCAAGAACTGTCTCCTAACATTCAAGTGAGATGCAGCCGCTGGTGCAGCAGAGGAAATGAAATCTTGTCACATTCACATCATACATTTATAGGCTTTCCCGCAAAGAATATTGGGAACTGTAATTTGTTAAGGGTGCTGGGAATTGTAGCTCTGTGATGGATAAACTACAGTTTCCAAGATTCTTTAGGGAAGCCATGCCTGTTAAAGTGGTGTAATTGTGCTTTAAATATATGGTGGGGACTGCTGAATCTGTCCTCTTTTGGGTGACAGCTCTTCAGGTATTTCATGAGTGCTGCTGTTGTGTGTTCTCTCAGTCTTCCCTGGACCAAACACACCCCAGTTGATTCAACCTCTCATTATAAGATGTGGATAATAATAATAATAATAATAATAATAATAATAATAATAATAATTTATTATTTATACCCCACCCATCTGGCTAGGTTTCCCCAGCCACTCTGGGCAGCTCCCAACAAAATATTAAAAATAGAAGAAAACATCATTTCTACACTCCTGACCATCTTTGTTTCCATCCTGCGAAGCAGTTCTAGTTTGTCTATGTCCTTTTTGCATATGAATCTCTCTCATGTTCGCTATGAATGCATGATGGCTACAATACCAACTAAATTGCTCTTGGTGGGGGGTAGGGGGATTTCATTGCTTAGGATAGCTCAGAAGCGAAAGCTTTGCAAAGTTCATTACAAAATTAAAACAGAGCACAGGGCATCTTTCTGCAAGACGGATGTGTGGTCCATTGAGGGGTGGAGTTAGTGGTGAGACTTCTTCCTATGCACCACCCTCTTTGTTGACACCTGGGCTCCTGGCAGGCTGTTGAAGACATGAACGGGACGGAGATCAATGGGCGAATGGTGTATGTTGGCCGAGCTCAGAAGAGGATGGAACGTCAGAGTGAACTGAAGCGCAAATTTGAGCAGATCAAGCAGGAGAGAGTAAACAGATACCAGGTAATGCTAAGTGACAACGAGGTCATCAGGTGCGGCAAGGTACACTTTTAAAAAAAAGCAGCACACTTGCTGACTTTCAAAATCTCAAATGCTGCGGTAGATTTGCCATACCAAAATGGTCATTTAGAAATATTTATTTGTTTGTTTGCAGGCATTGTTTCTATTACTGCTACTAATAAATTTATTACCCACCGTTCACCAGCAGAAGGATTACAGCAATTTAAAATCCAGTACCCAAAACAGTGGAAACAAATTTCAGCCTGTAATTGTATGTCCCCCTTGGTCTACAATAAAATAATGTAAGGTTAAAATATGAAAGATCACAAATTCAGTAAAACAATTTCCAGGATTGAACCATTATTATTCCGTAAAGTAACTGGGCCATGTAGAGGAAATCCACATTTCTCAGTCCTGCTTCACTGAGAGCTAGTGAAGGATAAGCAGCTTACCAGGTCAGGTCATTTGTTCACCAGGCCATTTCATGTCTACTGTTGACTGGCAATGGCTCTCTACGGTTTCAAGGGTCTCGGGCTTTTGCTGTCGCCTGCTACTCCCTGATTCCTCTAATGGCAGATGCCAGGAATTGAACCTGAAGGCCCCTTCACGGAAAGCATGTGCTGTGTTGATGAGCTGTGGTCCCTTCTTGAGGCACAGGTTGCCTGCAATTGCAGCGCATGGTAATAGTTCCTGTTTGTGGCAAGGGATGAAATTCATTGGGTTTTATCTTGATGCCTTTAAAAAAAAAAGAATCAACGAAAACAAGGCTGGTTTGCTTATCCTGAGAGTTTTGGTAACACAACTGGCAACAGATGCATCCTTGAGGTAAAAGCTTTGAAGGGTGCCTCCAGACAATCTCTATTTTGTTTGTGGGATTCAAGCACATAATGGGAATTTAGGATTGTGCAATTAAAGCAGTTTAAAGGGCTCTGTCGCCTGAGCACAGCAAATTTGGATGACGTTCATTGAGAGAAAGTGCAATAACGTTATAAAACACTACGCAGGTGATGGGTAGCAACAATTTAGCGCTATTCCCTCTTACAGGAATCTGATCTTTACATAAGCTGTAGTGTATGTTGTATTGAGGTGTTGGCAGTGTTAGAAACTGAGATATGAAAGCTAGGAGCTAAATGGCACCTTAAACATAGGTTATGGGTGCAACAACGGAATGTCTGGGCACGCCTTTTAATAACAAGAATACAAAGCTGAAAATGAATGAACTGCAGCTAAAATATTATGTCCATTTTTCACATGGTATAGTCCTTCCCGTGCCCACCCCCACCCCTAATATTCTTAAGAGGGCCTCTTTTCCAGTCTTCAGAGCAGCTGGAAGTGGGGGGGGGGCAGAAAAAGCTCCTCCTTTCCTCCCACTCTGCAGTTTTAATCTGAAATCTTAGGTGCAGTACTGTGCCCAGAGCTCAGAAACTGCTCACGCTAATGAAATTCCCTGTCACAAAATGCACCCAGAAGAATGGGAGTTTTGAATGCTGGGTGCTGGTGTGGATGGCATTTGGTTCCCTTCCAGCCTTATGATTGAGTGTTGGAAACATTATTTTTGTGTGCATATTTTAAAATGGAAAGCTGCGGCATAAATGTTACATAAAAAATATTATGAACACATGGGAAAGTGTCTGTGCTTTTTGCTCCTAGGGTGTGAACTTGTATGTAAAGAATCTGGATGATGGGATTGATGATGAACGGCTGAGGAACGAATTTTCTCCTTATGGAACTATCACTAGTGCCAAGGTAAGATCTATGGTGGGTATTCAATGTTGACCCATGTTGAATGTTCCATCCACTCAAACATGTCAGCTTCTCAGATGGAACAACCCTCCCCCCAATGTTTTAGGGCGTTCTCCCTGCCCCAAGCCAATTTCAGGGGGCACAGGGGAAGGGAAAAGCCCCACTGCACAAGTGGAAGACCTTGTGCAAGTCTGTCATTGATGGGACTCATTAGGTGAATCCTGCCCCTTAAGTCTGTAAACAAGTATCTTTTGTCTGTGAAACTTTCATTCAGACCATAGTCAAGGACTCATGTGATTGATTGCGCCTTCCATATTCCTCCTTAAAAAAAAAAAAAAAACACTAGGCTGTTGTTGATTTTTAACATGCAGGGATTTGGGGGTGGGGATATGGAAGGAGAAATTGCATGAGCCTCCCACCTATAGTCTGAAAACAAGGCAGTCCAGAAAGCAGTCCAGTTTTGCTGCCAGTCTGCTGTTTTGAGGCTGAAATTGCCACTGGGATAATCCAGTGATCTGCCCCATCCACTCCTTGCCTTCTCTGCAATGATTCCATCTGGAATTCTGGCTACTGGACTACTTTCGTCTAGTCCTTCAAAAAACTATAGCTCTCACAGAAGGAAGGCAACCAAGGCAGTGAGGCATGGCTATGGGCATAGCTGTCAACCTTCCCTTTTTTTGCGGGAAATTCCCTTATTCCAGCGCCGTTTCCCGCTGCTATCCCGGATTGTTAGATATCCCATAGACTGTCCCCGGGACAGGTGAGGCTGCTAATCCCTTATTTTCAAATCTGAAAGTTGACAGCTATGGCTGTGGGACTGCTGACAGAGTTATTAGGAACTCTGCAAGCCCCCAGTCTGGGAGGTGTGGAGGCCACTGTGTGCGAAATCCAACTAAATAGATCCACCAGCACATTGATGTTTAGCTGCCCAAAGGTACTTCTTCTCCCTTTCTTCTCCCTAAGTCTATTTCTGGGGGCGGGGATCCCCAAACTCTCTAGAGCAGATTTGGTGCGGATGCATCTACAAGCCTATTTAGTTGGAGACCATCCATGAAGTTTTGAAATTACCAGTCAACAGTACATTTAGTTATGATAGTTTGCTTGAAGGTGTGTGCCGCCATGTCTCCCCTGCTCCTATGGCAGGGTACAATAAATGTTTATTGTAATAATGGCTGAAAGCCTCCTCATATAGTGAAAACAAGGACTTTTAGTTGACCTTTGTTCCTATTGAGTTTGGTGGGACTCAAGATCAGTTCACCCCAATTTGTGTCTGTTAGGAAAAGTTGCCAATTATTCCGCTCATCTCGATGTCCGTGTCTCTCTGCCTGTGCTCTTCAGACTGCCATTTGCCATCCACTCAGTGGACTCAGTGTTTTAATTTTCAATTTTAGGTGATGACAGAGGGTGGACACAGCAAAGGTTTTGGGTTTGTATGTTTTTCATCCCCAGAAGAGGCCACAAAGGCTGTGACTGAAATGAACGGGAGGATTGTCAGTGCCAAGCCTTTGTATGTCGCCCTTGCTCAAAGGAAAGAGGAGAGGAAAGCTATTCTCACCAACCAATACATGCAGAGACTAGCTACCATGAGGGCCTTGCCTGGTCCAATCCTCTGCTCCTTCCCTCCAACAGGTTATTTCCTGCCCTCCCTTCCACAGGTAAGATTTGTAAAGAGGCTGCTATTACAGCTTACTTCTATGAAACCCATTGACTAGCACCAATGGCAGACAAGATGCTATTGCACTGCAACTCAATGCACTTTGCAAACCCATTGCATTCCAATCTAACTGCCATATTGGGAGATGACAGGCTGCATGTATAAAAATGGCTTTCACAGATCAAACACCATAAGAACTTTTTATATCTCTGCCTAAAGGTAAAGGTACCCCTGCCCGTATGGGCCAGTCTTGACAGACTCTAGGGTTGTGCGCTCATCTCATTCTAAAGGCCGGGAGCCAGCGCTGTCCGCAGACACTTCCGGGTCACGTGGCCAGCGTGACAAGCTGCATCTGGCGAGCCAGAGCAGCACACGGAACACCGTTTACCTTCCCTCTAGTAAGCGGTCCCTATTTATCTACTTGCACCTGGGGGTGCTTTCGAACTGCTAGGTTGGCAGGCGCTGGGACCGAGCGACGGGAGCGCACCCCGCCACGGGGATTCAAACCGCCAACCTTTCGATCGGCAAGTCCTAGGCGCTGAGGCTTTAACCCACAGCGCCACCTGCGTCCCATATCTCTGCCTACATCACCACAAAAAAATAAATAAATCTTGCAATAGAGTCCACCCGTTCAGCTGCGAGTTGTTCAAGCCAAAGCAGCCATGGCTTTCCCCACAGAATCCTGGGAGCTGCAGTTTGTTAAGGATGTGTAGAATTGTTAGAAGAGCCTTATTCCTCTCCCAGAGCTACAATTCCCAGAGTGGTTTAGCAACCAATCCCTCTTCACGGTTAACTCTGCAGGTCCCAGAATCCTTAGGGGGAAAGGATGTTCAAAGGAGAAACAGGGTCTGTAGCTCAAGTTTCCGTTAGGTGCCCTGGAGGAAAGGCCAACCTGGAAGACCTTGTAGGTTTCAGCCCAGCAAAGTCTGGGCCTTCTTTCTTCTCAGACGTATGTTCATGAGGTGTTTTCCTTGTCATTTCCTCCCTCAGGCATTGAAGGAGAACATGAGCCTGAGGCTTCCTGTGAGTTTATTACATATAGTGCCAAACTATGGTTTAGGGGACACGGGTGGCGCTGTGGGTTAAACCACAGAGCCTAGGACTTGCCGATCAGAAGGTCGGTGGTTCGAATCCCCGTGACGGGGTGAGCTCCCGTTGCTCGGTCCCTGCTCCTGCCAACCTAGCAGTTCGAAAGCACCTCAAAGTGCAAGTAGATAAATAGGTGCCGCTCTGGCGGGAAGGTAAACGGCGTTTCTGTGCGCTGCTCTGGTTCGCCAGAAGCGGCTTAGTCATGCTGGCCACATGACCCGGAAGCTGTACGCCAGCTCCCTCGGCCAATAAAGCGAGATGAGCGTCACAACCCCAGAGTCGGTCACGACTGGACCTAATGGTCAGGGGTCCCTTTACCTTTACCTTTACCTTTAATCTGCCTCAAGTAATTCTCAGGTGATGGTTCCTTCAAAGCTACACAAAAGAACTGCCACATACCTTTTCAAATTCCAGCCATGGTGCTTTCGGTAGTCCAAGCTGCCCCAGAGCTGATGTAACAACAGTAATGTATCTTCTTCCTTTGTTTTGTGGTCTTTTTTCTAGCCTCAAACCAGAACTACTTTCTACAGTCCTAGCCCTGTTGCCCAAGTCCGCCCTGTCTCCCGTTGGAATATGCAGCCCTCCAGGCCTCCCTGTGAGTTTGCTTGCTTGTTTTTTTAAAAAAGACTTGGGCATCCTCAGAGCATGTGGGTGAAGGTTGCACTTGGTATGGAACTCCTACCATGCTATTAGTTGGTGCTGGGACCCCAGTATTTTTGTGAAGTCAGCATGCAAATTCAGTAGAGCATGGGGTTGGGGACCTGATGATGCTGGACTCTAGCTCATGGTCAGGGATCATGAGAGTTGGAGTCCAACCATAGGTCGCAGGTCCCCATCTCTGGGTTAGAGGAATGTGTGGTGGTCTTAGTTCTCATTACTGAAAGTAGACCCACAGACTAAGTAGAACTGCTAAGACACTAGGGGTGGTGTTCAATTAAGTTCTGCTCAGAATAGACCCATTGGAATTACTGGAACTAACTTAGCCATGTTCACTAATTTATTTATTTTATTTTATTTATTTTTTTAAAAAATATTTCAGGTTTATACATTTCACTAATTTTACAATCATTTTAACATTTCAAAACTTGACTTCCTTCCCCTTCTTTCTGCGGTTCCTTCAGTTTATTTTTAATATCTTCTGCATATCCAAATTAACTTAAATTTGCTCATTCATTCATCTGCTTTAAATATATACTCTTATAAAACTGCACCTTATTACAGTAATCCTGCCAATGTTCATATCTGTTTACAATTTATCTGTAAATATTCAATAAACCATTTCCATTCTTTAATAAAAAGTTGGTTATCTTGATTTCTTATTCTTCCATGTTCACTAATTTATGTGGATAAAACGTCTCTGAATGCCACCCGCTTCTTATGCCTCCAAATTCTGATGAAAGTATTCAATGTTTTTAGCATCCTATCACCCAGCCAGCCCGGTCCTGAGGACTAGTGCACCTCCCAGGCGCCCGCTGTCCAACATCAGCACCATGAGACAAGCGTCCACTCAAGCTCCCAGGGTATCTCCCAATGCCCAGAGAGTGGGTAAGTTAGGAAATGCTGATAGTTCATCATCAAAAGGAACGGTGTGTGCCTGTGTGCTTAGATGCAGGTGGCAATTATTTTATGCATAATCCAGTTTGGGGGAACCTGTCACAGTGTAGCATTACCAGGAAATGGAACCTGTGGCAGGATGATGGCAATGAGGGTAGGCTGAGTGGGAGCTTTTCAGTTCTATGGGCTCCCATAGCAATTAAGAGATTAGGTACACAAGTTGCTCTTACCATGCCTCCTCCAGACCTCGGTGCTGAGGTCCAGCACCGAGGGCCTTCTGACGGTTCCCTCACTGCCAGAAGCCAAGTTACAGGGAACCAGGCAGAGGGCCTTCTCAGTAGTGGCACCCGCCCTGTGGAACGCCCTCCCACCAGATGTCAAAGAGAAGAACTACCAGACTTTTAGAAGACATCTGAAGGCATCCTAAATATTAGGAAGAACTTCCTGACAGTAAGAGCTGTTCGACAGTGGAATTTGCTGCCAAGGAGTGTGGTGGAGTCTCCTTCTTTGGAGGTCTTTAAGCAGAGGCTTGACAGCCATATGTCAGGAGTGCTCTGATGGTGTTTCCTGCTTGGCAGGGGGTTGGACTCGATGACCCTTGTGGTCTATTCCAACTCTATGATTCTATGATTCTATGAATGCAGCCCTGTTTAGGGAAGCTTTTAATGTTTGCTGTATTACAGTATTTTAATGTTTTTTTGGAAGCCGCCCAGAGTGGCTGGGGAAGCCCAGCCAGATGGGTGGGGTATAAATAATAAAATTATTATTATTATTATTATTATTATTATTATTATTATTAAATAAAAGGATTATCAGGAGCTGGTGTAGGGTTTAGCCTTTCCTTCAATGGCATCTGTGGGTTCATCCTTTTGCTTGCTTTGTATACATGAATGGAGTGTTTTATTACGGTAAGATTTGGACCACCCAATTGTGCTGACGTTGCAGTGGAGATTTTGAGAGGACTTCTCAGATTTACTTGTTGCAGGCTCTGGATGCAGCTGAGAACTGCCATCTTCCTCTCCCCGCCTTCTGCACCATTTTGGGAAGCCTGCTTTTAAAAAGGCTTCTGCAAAGGGTGTGTGGCATCAACGATGGGATACATCATCTCTCCTCTCTCTGTACCCTTCCAAATTGTTCCTGTTCTCATTTCAGCCAACATAGGAACCCAGACTATCAGCACTCGGGCATCCTCTTCAACAGCCCTACCACGCGGCGTTTCCCAGTACAAGTACTCTTCAGCTGTGAGGAATGCTCAGCCACTGGGCACCATGGCACCTCTGCCAATGCACCAGGTAACTAGCCTTCAGTTGTGGAACAAAGGATATTGTATAGACCATGTTTTCCTCCCTCCACTCCTTAATATGGAAGATTTTTCTGATCATGCCATTAACATAGGCTGCGTACACACCATACATTTAAAGCTCTCTCCCCCCCCCCCCGCAGAAATCCTGGGAACTGTAGAATAAGGGTGCTGGGAATTGTAGCTCTGAAAAGGGATAAACTGCAGTTCCCTGGATTCTCTGTGTGCGCGCCATGTGTTTTTTTAAAGTGTGCTTTCAGTGTATGTTGTGCACGCAGCCTTTAGAGTTTGGGCTTGTAGTGTGTTCTAGTTTTTGGCGTTTAATTGGTCTGGATTAAAGTAAAGGTAAAGGGACCCCTGACCATTAGGTCCAGTCATGACCGACTCTAGGGTTGCGGCGCTCATCTCGCTTTATTGGCCGAGGGAGCAGGCGTACAGCTTCCGGGTCATGTAGCCAGCATGACTAAGCCACGTCTGGCGAGCCAGAGCAGCACACGTAAACGCCGTTTACCTTCCCGCCAGAGCGGTACCTATTTATCTGCTTGCACTTTGACATGCTTTCGAACTGCTAGGTTGGCAGGAGCAGGGACCGAGCAACGGGAGCTCACCCCGTCGCGGGGATTCGAACTGCCGACCTTCTGATCAGCAAGTCCTACGCTCTGTGGTTTAACCCACAGTGCCACCCGCGTCCCTCCTAGGGGACCAAAGGTCACACAGGTCCCTGTCTTTGATTTAGAGGAATGAGTGGTGGCCTAAGTATTTGGGTCTACTCTCACTAAAAAGAACTAAGCAGAACTCTCTGCTAAGACACTTGGGGGGGGTTCAATTCAGTTCTGCTCACAGTAGACCCACTAGAATTAATGGACCTAGCTTAGTCACGTGCGTTAATTTCAGTGAGTAAAATTTAGCTGAACGCCACCCTCTTCTCATTTCTCCAGCTTCTCTTGATGAAAGTGTTCCTTCGGGGTGAGGTCAAACCATTGGAGAGTTGCAGCGCCTGCTGTGGCTGTAGAGATTGATGTGGGAGAGACATGTTTTGTTGCAGCTGGGGCAGATGAAGGCATCCGGCTGTGCTGCAGCTGATGCATTGTGGTGTTTCTTCTCTCTGAGCTCCTCCCAGTGGTCATTCCTCCTCTGGTCACTGCTGTGGATACGTGACCTGTCTCTAGACACTGTTGACCAGCAGTTAGGGAAGATGGGAGTTGCAGCCCCAAGAGCAGCTGGTTCCTCCTCCCTACTTTAGGGAGCTTCAGATGGTGCAGGAAAAGGAGTTGCTGCCATTAGAATCCACCTCCCCCCCCAGAGTGTCATTCAGGAACTCACATGAGGACCATGCTATAATTGTTGTCTTCTGTTTATTGGCCTGCAGGTTGTAGAACCGGCTGTCCGTGTCCACGGACAGGAGCCCCTGACAGCATCCATGTTGGCTGCAGCCCCTCCTCAGGAGCAGAAGCAAATGCTTGGTGAGTTGTGGTGCGTCATCCTCCTCCATCGGCAGCTTGCCCTTCTGAGGTGCCCTGTTCAGCTAGCTAGCTAGCTAGCTATGTCTCTGGGCAAGAGTTTGAACCTTAAACTTAAAGGTGCCGCTCTGTAGCTTGGAAACTGTTTTTGGCTTCCCCCGAATATGCAGGATCGGGCCGTAGTTATTCAGTGCTGCTGGCAATGCATTCTGCTCAGCTGGTAGAGCATGAGACTCTTAAATTCAGGGTTGTGGGTAGGAGTCCCACATTAGGAAAACACTACCCAAAACTGTGATGAACAAACTGGGAGACGGTTTTGTGCCTTTTGTGGTTCTATTGGCTTGAGATTTCATTGTGGGCCTTGCTTAGATTCATAGGCTTTTAGCACAGATCAACACCATATATTTAAATCACATTAAATGCACGTTTAAAGCATATGATTTCCCTCCCCCAAAGATTCCTGGGAGCGGTAGTTTAAGGGTGCTGTGAATTGTAGCTCTGGGAACACTAGTTCTATTAGTTTGTATAGTTTGGTTTGATTTTGTTTCTGTATTTCTGCCCTGAGACCTTCGCTTTAAATAAAGAAACATGCAGAACCTTCAAATGGGAAACTAGAACGAACACTGGAAAGGACGTTTGCTGATTGGTATAATTACAACCTGACATTGCAGAAGGGTCTTGGCGAGGGGAAGGGGATGCTGCAGGATAGTACAGTGGTACCTCACGTTACATACGCTTCAGGTTACAAACTCCGCTAACCCAGGAATTGTGCTTCAGGTTAAGAACTTTGCTTCAGGATGAGAACAGAAATTGCACTCTGGTGGTGCGGTGGCAGCAGGAGGCCCCATTAGCTAAAGTGGTGCTTCAGGTTAAGAACAGTTTCAGGTTAAGAACGGACAAATTAAGTACTTAACCCGAGGTACCACTGTATATTCAGTATCCTTTCCATTCTGCTTCTGAAAAGCAATTATCTCAGCAGTGCCAGCAGACTGTAGTATAAAAGCAACCTTGGCTGGTTGCATGGTTCTAGCAACCACAACACTTCAGCTGAAGCACTGCTTTAAGGGACTGGCTACCCAGCCCGAGCCCTGTCAATCACAGCTTTTCTCCCTAGCAACTGTTGTGGGTCTGGCAGCAGGGATCTCCGGACATGATCAGGTATCATGAGTAGCAGCTCTTTTCCTGCTGACGGAGCAGCTGCTGCTCTCCTCCACATGATCTGATGAGGCTGAGCTGCGTGCCAACTGCATTTGAACGGAGAGTTTCTTAGATTACTAACAGCCGGACTGCACAGGCTCTTCCTGTGCTGCCACCTGCTTTGGGTATTTGGGTATGCTTTGGGCATACTCTTCCTTTCCTGTCCCCATAAGTGTACTTAAGGAAAATGATGCTAATTTTCCTGGAGGGATTTTCCTTTTCAAGCACACAGCACCTCACTGTGCAAGCAGAAACTCCTGCTCTTCAATATATACTTTCCTCACACAGAATGGTTACAGTGGTGATGGGTTGAAGGAGTTTATTTCCGTGTTCCCCCTCCCCCCCCCCCTCTCTCTCTCTCTCTCTCTCTCTCTCTCTCTCTCTCTCTCTCTCTCGGTTCCTGAAAGGTAAATCTTACTCCTTGCTCTGTTGCAACAAAAAAGGCCAAACTGGCCAGTGTGAAGCATGGTGTGAGTAAAGAGTGCTGGAATTAGGGATGGATCATTCTGTTTCTGGTCTCTCTCACTTTCTCCCGTGTTCACAAAATCCATCATTTCCCATTTCAATCCGCAGTTGTAAAAAACAATGCCGTGGACTGGGAATTTAACTGTACGCAGTTCCCTGTTTAGGGAAGTTTTTTAATATTTAATGCTGTATTGTTTTTAACACTCGATTGGAAGCCGCCCAGAGTGGCTGGGGAAACTCAGCCAGATGGGCGGGGTATAAATAATAAATTATATTATTATTATTATTATTATTATTATTATTATTATTATTAAATGCATCACTGCCAATCTTATTCGGCATTTGCTCTGTTTCGTTTAAATAATAAGCAGGATAAATCCTGGTTCTCAACAGGTCCACATTACATGGGCAAATAATTTATCCAGCTCTGCAAAAATCATACCCCTTGCAATACAATTAGAGATTTTTTTGAGGGGGACGGGACGACTCCCATTGGTGCCAAGCTGCTATTTCTCCACAATGACGCATTGCTGTTTCTCCAAGCAGCGGTTTGTGCAGTGACCTTACACAAGCTGAGCATTCGCTGTCGCATGAAGATGCCCTCCTCTCTGCTTTTTGTTTGCACAGCCAAATTATTGACATGTGTATAGGGCTGTGGAGTTGCCTATGCAAATGTGTAGCACTTAAAAGAGAAATAATGTATGAAGTCTGACTTGAACGGGCAGTCAAATCCCAGTGTCAACAATGGGTGCATCGTCCCCTGCACCTGAGGGCAGCAGATTAGTTTAGGGGGTGAAGAGCAGGCTATGTGCCCCACAGAGCTCTGTCTTTCCCTACCTTGTTGCTACTCCATGCCCCTCCAGTGTTTGCTGCCTGAAGCAGACGCCGCACACTGCTTAATGGTAGGGCCAGGTCTGTGTGCAGTCATTTAAGGAGAAAGTCTTTTACAATGCCTGCAGCAGCAGCTTGAAAACTGGGAGGATAATAAAGAGGTGTATCTGAATTTGCTTTCTCTTAAGACAGTCCTTCCTGGTAGATGTTTCCTTTGGGGGGGGGTACCTGCTAGATGGCAATGGATGTTAGTACCCTTATACATCCGGTTAAATTCCTGTAATATTTTCAAGTGCTTTATTCTTTGGATATCCATGTACAATTTGTTTACCTCTTCTGCCTGCTCTCTTGCAACTCTGGGCCTCACCAGAACTTTTTAAAATGGTTTTTCATGTGAGAACTGAAGCATTCCTATTCCCCAGTGTTCTTCCTGGGCCACGATTACCCCTAAGCTTAAAAAATGGAATGGGGCCAGCTCCATGGGGTTTTCCCACTCTGAATGATGCATGCTTCTGTCCCTTTTGCCTGAGCACAGGTGAACGCCTCTACCCTCTGATTCACTCATTACACCCCTCCATGGCTGGGAAGATCACAGGTATGCTGCTGGAGATAGATAACTCTGAGTTGCTGCTGATGCTGGAGTCTCCTGAATCCCTCCACTCTAAGGTACTGGAATTTCATGCTATAAAATAAAAACCGCTAACTGCGCCATTGCAAATCCCCAAATTTTGCAACTAAAATATATTGTGCTGGTTTGAGTTTTGTTTATCTGTAAAGTTTATGATATGCATACCTTCAGAATACGAAGGGTTTCTCTTTTACAGAGCTTGGAGTGGGGCTGTTCCCCCACCCCCAGAAGTAGGTGATGGAGCAGGAGACTATTGGGGAACTGAAATGATCCCTAAGGGCTGGGAGATTTTGAAACCCTGGTGGGATTACTGATAGTAAAAAGACTCCATCTCTGACTACAAGCCTTCACACTGTTGCTTTTTCCCATTTTGCCATCCCCAGCTGAGTCCATTTCTCACCTGGTTTGTACATGTGTGCGTGTTCTAATTATTCCTGGTGCATTTGTGCCTTGAGCAAATGCGGTGTATGCTTGTGGATGTATCCCACACGGAGCACATTTCCTCGCTGAGATTAAAAACTACTTTTTTACTTATAAAGTGGCAATTCACTGTAATGGTATGTCCTGACTAGTTAGAGGAGAAAACAGAAAAGATCACATGACACATCCTTAATGTCTCTTTTGACATAATGCGGTGTGTGTGTGTGTGCGCGCACGCTTGTGCGCGTATATGCAGCGGTTTCTCCTAGTTTGGGCTGGTTTGCAAAGACTGCATGTGCAGCCCTTTGAATGACCACCATGTTATGAGCCATTCCATTCTCAATGCTAAAGGAGCTATTTTTAACCAGTTAGTGTTTCAGCTGCATAGGCTTTCGATGCATGAATAATAACTTAAGGAGATCCTTCCTGGATCAGGCAAATGGTCCATCTAGTCCAAAATACTGTTTTCCCATAGTGATGGCCGCCCAGAAGCCCCCCAGCCAGGGGCATGCTGTTCTTCAGCAGCTGATACTTATACGGTCTCTGAAATGTGGAGGCTAAAATGAATGTAGCCTTCCTACTAGTAAATCCAGTGGCAGATGGGGCTTGTCAACCTGGGAAGGTAGTCCATCTGGGAGAAGCAGTGGGAGAACCATTGGTACTGATCAAATGACTGCTTCGACTTTGCCTGTTGCTGCAACCTGGGAAGGTAGTCCATCTGGGAGAAGCAAAACACTTTATCCTTAACCTTCATTGCCATGTGGGGTATCTTCAGGAGAAGAAAAGTCTAAGGAACAGATCTGGAGTGGGGTCCCTAAGACTGTTGGATGGTGCCTTCTCTGCATTACTTTGGACCACATCAGTGAGGCCTTGTCGTTTGGGCAGCCCAGGACCTCCATACGCACCACCCAAGTTTAGCGCCCCTGGGAGGTCACTTCTGTGCTGCTAACGCAGCAGTGTGACTTTACCCCAAAGGCACACTCCATTGGCTCTTGAGACAGACCTGATGCCAACATCTGCTAGTAAGTCCTCCATGCATGTGTCTAATGCCCTTTTGATAAGAACGTTATGTGTTACAACAAACTTTTGTTAGATTGAGGAAGCTGTTGCTGTACTGCAAGTACACCAGATCTCTGAAGCATCCCACAAGAGCAACTCGGCAGCATTTCTTCAGTGACCAAGGTGGGTTGGTAAGGAGTGTACAGCGATCAAGTGAGAAACTTGGTTTTGGCCAAAATATGTAAGCGGGAGGGAAGGAAAGCAGGCCCAAGCATTGCATTGGGGACCTGATGCAAAGACATGGTTCCATGCTGAGAACTAACACAGAAGGACCTATTCATACAATGTCATCTGCTTGGCAAGGTGAGGGACAAGTAGGAAAGTGTTGCAGTTGCATGTGTGAAGCTGACACTTTCTGCTTCCCTCCTTTTTAGGATCCGATTGGTACTGATCAAATGACTGCTTCGACTTTGCCTGTTGCTGCAACCGTCATGTCTACACTGCTTGTGCAGCAGCTTCATTGTTACCATAAATTTGCTGCACGTGGTCTGGATCTCTCTCAGACTCAGTGCCCAGCCGTGGTCCCAAACTACTGTAGGCACAACCAGTGGATTATCAATGGGCAAATTGAGCTCCTCTTCCCATTAGTCAGGATGGCTACATGAAACTTCTCTGTGCATTCTAATTTAGAGTTTCTCCATTTAACATATGTGTTTGCAGTCCCAAGGCACAGGTGGTTAATATATATTCTGTCTAACTATTTACTGGTATTTTTGAGGGGGGGGGTATATGTATATAAATATTCGTGCAAAAATCTAGCCTTTTTTGAATCACTTTTGTGCACTTAAGAGTCGTTGCAGCTTCTTTTCCCACTAACATTGTATTCACACTTTAAGGAGTATTTTCACAGGTGCTTTTCTAGTAACTGCTTGTATGGGAAGGATATGTTGTGAGAATGATGTGGAACAAATTGGTTCCCACATTGTGTTAATTTATCGAAGCTGGTCATTTTTAAGTAGCCTTAAGCTTCAACCACCACTGGGGCCTGTGGCACTATTTTATTTGTTCGTGCTGCTGTTGACATGATAAAGGAAATGAAGCGTCACTTCCTTTATCACCAAGTCTTGTGTCAGTGTTCACTGTCTAACATGGCACTAACAACTACTCTGCTCAGTTGCATAGATCCATGGGCTGCCAAAATTACTGGGACAAACCATTGTGAGCTCGTTTGTTTTAAAGAAAACCAACTGGTTCTCGCACTTGACACATGTAGGAGGGGTTTTTGAATTGCATTTTTAAATAACTCTTATAGAGATGCGAGAAATGAATTCCTCCTCTCCTTAAAAGCACTTTTCTTCTGCACTGTGTCATGCACATATCCTTTTTTCAACAGCCACGTGTGCATTCTGTAGAAATTGAAATATTTATATGTACTGTTACCTTTGAGCTGGGAAAGAAACTTTGACTTGTTCAACACATGCATTATAAACTTCATATCCTGGTAGCACATTAATATATGACTGTTCTCCTTTATAACTTGGATTTAGTTAAATTGTCCCAGGAGCCCAGAGAGGGGGTCACAAGCAGGCACTTGCAGTTGGCCCTGTGCTGCAAAGTGGACACGATTAATCTCCGTTTGACAACTACAAGTTGCGCAACCAAACATTTATTTAAAAGTTCAAAACACCAGAAGCATAGGCTGATTTGAGTTTTCTTCCCTCAATATTTCCAGATGGATGCGAGAGGCGGCTGTTACTAGACTCTGCTGAACAGTACAACATTAACAGTAATGGTTCCCTCTAGGGTATTTGGTGCCTAGCCTGCTCTGTGCATGGCTGTGTTAAAGAGACTATATGCAAAACTCTACCCGCTCCAACTTTAAAAAGGCATGAGCTCTAAGGCAAAAGAAAATGGGGATTATCTTGGATCTTCTCACTATTACAAGGTTGAGGGACTAACTGCAAAGCTTGCTCTGGAGGGCAGGCTCAAAAGAAGCTACAGACATTTCTTGGCTATGGGATTTTGAGCCTAGTTTTCACAAAGAGCAGAAGAGCTAGTAAACCACTGCCTGGACACTATCAGAATGCAGGTGAAGCCTCTTGCAATAAATGCCCTTCTATTTTAAAAAAATGTAGAAAAGCAGGTGATGGAGAAGGCACCTGCCATTTCATTATCTGCTACAGAGCTGGGGAAGTGGTGGCACTCAAATGTTGCACTCTCAACTCCCATCTACCCTGGTCAGGGATAATAGGGGGGCACAGGTCACTCTGCAGAGGGATTCTTCGTAGTAAGAAACATTCTACCAGATGGGTACCTTACCTGTAGTCTGGAGTGCTAGAAGCAACATCAGTTTTATCAGCCGCTATTCATAAGGAGGTCTATGAGCAGGAAGGTAGGCAAAAAGTTATTGTACATGCAGATTGCTCTACTTTTCAGGGCATGTTCTTTCTATATGAAGCAGGAAAATTGGCTATGCTGGTCTACTTTCTAGGCTTCCTGCCCTCACCCCCAGCTGAATGTTTAACCTATAACTACTTTCAAACATATATCAGAGGAGGGAGTGTCATCATAAAGTAATAGACGTGTAAAAAACATAACAGGCAATCAAGCTAAGCATAAATGAAACAGCCTAATCTAACAAAGAACCCAAGTCTGCAAAAGGTATACACAGCATAAGAGCAGCACGACATACCAGACTCTTTGGTAAAGGATAAAAGCAGCATTAGATTTCTAAAGAACATTTCGAAGACCAGAACGCTCAACTGGAGCCTAGTGCACAAAAGTTAAGGCAAAGCAGAGACTACTTTTGAAAAACATACATCCGTCAGCCACTGTGTCAGTCCAAGCCTTTAGCTTGCAATTGTGCTGCTACCTACATGGATAAGCAGCTACAACCAGAGGCTTGCAGTTCTTCGCTCTGCAAAACACACCCACCTACCAAAAAATATCAGTTAAGTGCTGCCCTGTCTGCTATAATCTCTTTCTCAGTGAGTTAAGGTAAATTTTGCTAGAATAAGGGGCTTGCAGTACAGCTACCGCTCTGGAAATTCTATTAGGAAGTTGTGACTCTCAGAAGGTCACACTGAACTTTTGGAAGCCTTTATAGGAAGAACAAATAACTCTGATAAAGCAAGGAACCAGAAAGATGCCAACAGGTCTGAAAGGTGAATTTTGCATCTGGCTGTGCATTCAGGCTGGTCCCTGTGATCACTTTTTTTTAGAAAAACAAAACAAAACAGGAAACGTATCTTCAGAAGAGTATGGTGTTGCCTTTAGCCTCTCTTATTTTAAGAGTTATTTTAATTCTTGCAGTAGTTTCTGAGCAGCACTGTTCTTTGGTTCAATTTTCAAGAGGCTGTTGATATCTGCTTTACTAGATCTGTAGTCCTGGAAGTAAAGAAAACATGTAGATATTTGGCAGGCGACAAATAAAGGTGCTCCCGAGAAAGCAAAAAGTGGCACCCCTACATTTAATGAAAATATTTGGAATTTAGTGCATTCGGCAGCACTGCCACTTCTACAGCCCCATCTCATGGTCTATAACACTACCTGGTATCCTTTGCAGCATATGGGCACCAACAACTCCCTGAATTTATTGTTGACTTTAGTAAACAAATGCTTTTGATTACTTTTTGGGATGCTCTCAATTCCCCCCGCCTCCTTGATGATCCCAATATCCTGAGGAGCCTGCCTTCAGCTGTTGCCCCAAAGCAGCCACCTTCCAGATGTCAACTCCTTTACACACCTCTAGAATGGGAAAACTTCTAACTTCTAACCTGCCAGCAAATTTGGCCCACCTGGGGGTCCACTGACGTCAGCTGGTGGGAAAAGTTTAATCTTGCATTGGCTGCAAACCCTGTTCTTGGCAGTGAACAGGATCACAAAGCTAAGGCAGCAGGATTTAATCCCTGTTCATCAAGAGAAGAATTTGCAAAACATTATCTGAAGCAGCTCTGTGCTGCTTCTCTAAGCAAGTGGGAGAAAGGAGTCTGTCTCACCACCCATTTGCTTAAAGGAACGTTTGCAAAGGGCTTTAAAACCAATGTGGGTTCCCAAGCAGCCAACATCCAGCTGGCTGTAAAGCACTTGGAAACCAGATGCAAGGGATTTTGAGAGGTAGGTGGAGCTACCCACCTATCATGTGATGTCACAATGACATGGTGTGATTGATAAAGATCTAGCCACTGGAGCCAGAAAGGTTCCCCAGCCCTGCTCTGGAGCAAATGGGGTAGAACTGGAGAAAAAGCTACATATCTGCTTGAAAATAAGCACTTCCCATACTGTAACTCAGTGACCCAAAATTATAGGAAGTTCCTTACCTTGAGCTCTTTATATGCTTGTGCTCGTCTGTAAAATGCTTTGACATTCTTTGGGTCCATCTTAAGTGCTTCTGAGCAATCCTGAATTGCTTCCTTGTACTGCTTCATATTCAGGTAGCAAAGAGCCCTACAATGTATGCAAGGAAATATAACAGTCTTTGGAAACAACTGCTATGGAAATCCTGCATTTGGAATGATCTCATACACCTAATAAAGGGTGCTGGGGGTAGGTGTTCAAATGCTCAATTTTTATTTTGAGACACATTGGCTTCTCTCATAGAATGATTGCTCTTGATAAGTAGAATGAATGAATATTGCCAATACAATTGTCAAGTCCAACATCATCAACTCAACCATGATTAAGTTGTAACAATGCACTTCTAAAAAGCTTGCTTTTCACACCCCACCCAAAAACTGTCATGACTGCTGTTTTCCTGAATGAGCTAGACTGCAAGCATCATCAGCATCAACATCATTATAATCATCTTCTCCTGTTTCTAAATGCAGTGGCTTTCTGCTCATCTGTAATAAACCAATGTGACTGCAGCCATTTGCACCTTGATCAATTAGGATCATCATCTTGCATAGCCACATTTCTAGCTTCTGTCAACAGGTCGCCCCCCCCCAAACTTTCAAGTAGACCTTTAAAGAGGCTGGAGCTAAAAAGATGTGGAAGCTGGTATTTTCAGGAAGCTGAATGCTGCACATAGTAAAACGATGTGCTCCTATAGAGTAGCGGTATATACAGAGCATAATTTGCATATACTATGATTACAGAACGTAACTAAACTATTTGGGAGGAAAGGAATCTACCCCGGTACCCTTAACACCTTTAACGAAAACAGAGCCCACAGGAAC